CCCGGTGCCCCGGGGCTGGTGCTGGCAGTGGGGGCAGCCGCTGTGCTGGGCCGGGCACCCCACAGCGCTAGCTCACAGCGCCCAGGCTGACTTACCGCGCTGCCGTCATCGCAGCTCTCCAAGGCGAGCGTGCCGTTCTCCACGGCGAGGCACCGCGACGTGCCCGTGTTGACCAGCTAGAAAAGAGCACTGGAGTGTTAATGAGGAACGCAGGACACACACCTTTTGAGGCAGAGGAGCAGCTGCCAGGCCACCATGTGGCTGGGGTCCCAGGACAGCGGGCAGCACTGCCCGCTTGGCTCAACAAAGCAAATGTCCCCGCACCTCGGCGCAGTGCCGCACGCACACGGGGTTGTGCAGCCACATGGCAAGTGCTGTGGATGCTGCACGTGGGCACTCGGTGCCTCGTGACAACGTCCTCCTCCTTGTGGTCACTTGGTGCTTGCCCCAAGGGGCAATGCAACTGTGTCCCCTGAGAGCAGGCAGCCTCAGTGGGGGCATCACCCTAAGCTCATTTTAACCAAACTGCACAGCCTGGCACCAGGGCAGCATTAGGGCTGGCTGCTGAGTCCCTGCACGCGGCCACTCCTGTTCCTCTCAGAACCGCTCAACGGTTTATCCGTTAATCCTGGGGAATAAATATGCTATTCAGAAAACAGCTCTCAAGTAACGTTGGCAATGCTGGAACTCGCATAGCTTGCTGAAAACCAGATTTTCTGCCCTATTAAGCCTCGAGAATAGGCATGAAAGAGGGATTCAGGTGGCCTGAAGTGAGGCAAAGAAAATCTTCAAAGTTTTTGTAAACGCAAATCTGAAAATTTCAGCTGAAGCATTTGTACTTATATGAGGTCTTAGCGCTGAGCTTGATGTTTACTTTTATTCTGACTGAAACAGGAGAGCTGTTTGGAATTGAAAAAGCCAGAACTTTTCAGGAAAGTTTTTTTTTGTTTCCCCTTGATTTCTCAGAAATATCCCTGCTAGTTGCTTTCAGAAAAGCATCACTGCAGCTGATGTCTCACTGAAGCCTTGGACTAGCTCCCGTGTGTTTTCCAAAGGGAAACAGGGTCGCAGGGTTGCTGTGGGGGCCGCCTCGGCTGACGGTGCTCGTGCCAACCTCTGCTTGGAACCACGGGCAGATCAACCTTGATCTCCAGTGCCCAGGTGCAGCTCCCGGTAGCTTTCTCACCCGGACCCCACCACATCTCCAAACCAGGGCGTCCTCCTCGCTTCGCTGCAGTGCTCCTGCCCAACACGTCTGCAGCTGCTCACGAAGCGCTCATTGCAGCTGGGCGCCTGTGCCCAGGCTGCCCGCGTTCCCTCCATGCAGCCGCAAACCACGCGGGGCTGCGGCGCTGCTTCCTGGCGCCCACAACAGCCCGCGCGGGGAGGCGATCCCAGCCCGTCCTCACGCCTCCGTCTGCGCCGCTCCCACCAGCTCCCTCCTCTGGGCGCTCCTCCGGCTGCCGCGCGGCCGGGCACGGGCACAGCCCAGGCTCTGGCTCTGGCTCCTGCCATCGCTGCAGTGTCACTGCAAACCTCCCGCTCTCGTTACCGCAGCGACAAACAGAGCGCACTAGGCTGGGTGCCTCTCCTGGGCAGAGCATCCCGGCTTCCTGAATGCTCTGAGGAGCACCTGACCCTGCCCAGGCCACAGTCGGGACCCATGTTCTGTTCCCGTTTCCTTCGTTTCTCAATGGGGGTGCAGTGATCTGCACAGGGGCAGCGCAGCTGCACGGATCAGGCCAGTGCGGAGGATGCAGGCTGGCGAGGGGACAGGGACAACGAGCAGTGCCTGGATGGGTTAGTGCAGGAGAGCTGCGCTGAGGGGGCTTTCTGCCTGCTCCTTGGCCGGTGTCGGAATCATGCGGAGACTCCCTGGTGCTTTGCTGGTGGGAAAGCGGCCGCGCGGCCCGTGCCGCGCAGGGAGATGGATTTCTGCTGCGCTCTAGTGGCGATGCACCCCCAGTGCATGGCAGTGCAGCGCTGGTGCCCCCACACGTGTGAGCCACGCGCCGGGAACCCCAGGGGAGAAGGAGCTGTCTCTTCTGCAGCAGGGAAATGGAGACCAGGGACCTGTGCTGTGCCCTGGCAGCGGGTGAGCTACGGGCACGCTGTGCCCTGTGCCAGTCAGCTGCGTCTGGGACACTTGACAGGCTCCTTGATGGACACGTCTCTTGGAGGTGTCACTTTGGTCTTTATAAAAACACTGGGAAATGCAGACCGTGATGTATTCAATCCTCACATAGAAATGAAACAGAGAAACACCATTCAAAAACACATTTTCCCAGTGCGGAAACGGTGCGGAAACCCTTGTCTGCGGAACGGGTGCAAATCGCTCATGGCACACAGGGAGTGGCACAGCCATGGGCCTCCTGCCCCCCAGAGCAGTGCTGAGCACACGACTGTCTGAATGCTGCTAGATCCCAGCTAGCCATGAAAGCCCGTGCAAGCGAACAACAGCAAGCCCTGTCACCGTTTGGATACCTACCAGCCCGCTACATCTGACCAGGGGAGCTTCCAGGTCCGGGTAGACGTTCTCCAGGTACCACTTGAAGCTTTTGCATTGAAGTTTCTTGCGTAGCTCGATCTGCTGCGTCAGGTTGCCAACGTCCAGGTTTTTCAGGAGGAGGTGATAAGCGTGTCCATAGAACAAGTCTTTGTACTCGTCCAACCAGACCTCTGCAACGCGAGCCAAGTTCCGCTCCACCGTGCTTATCCGATCCTTAGGGAAGGAGTAGGGGTTGTCGTTCCTAAAGATGTGCCCGACTCTGGAGCATGGAATGATCTCGACTTCTCCTCCACACATCCAGACCTGGAACACAGAGATGGACATGCCAGCAAACGCACTGTGGTGAGCATGAACTTAATCCTGCGACACGGCCCGGCTTTCGGCTCGCGTGCGTCCTGCCCCTCGCTCACGTGCACTCCCGCGTCTCAAACACCGGCGGAGACGCTCACCCCGCGCTCCGGGCACTGCCAGCCCTGCCCCGCGCCTGCCCGCAGGAAGGGGCTCTCCGGGACCACCTACCTTGAAGGAAAGCTCCATGTTCTCGCCTCCCCAAACCTCCAGCCCGGGATCATACGTCCCCAGCTCAAAGAAATACCTCCTGTCGATGGAGAATAAGCCACCTGCCATGACTGGGCACCTGCAAAGAGACGCCCAAGTTTGCATGCGCGAGGCAGGATCACAGGGCTGCTGAGGAAGAGGGTTACAGGGCAGAGGAGCCCATCCCCAGGGTAAAACTCGGCATTTTCCTAAAGCCCCAAGACCTTTAGAAAGGCCAGAACAGCAATACATAAGCACATACCGCATCCCGCAGCACTGCCCCGCTGTCAGGGCTGCCCCACGGGCTGGACGCCTCGGCGGCTGGGTGCCAACAAACCAAGCGGTTGGTTCCTGAGACTCTGAAATCCAGCATTTTTACCTTATCACATCAGTTTTCTTCATTTTATTTTTCTCAATGACCTCTTGGGGAATCTGTCGCCATCCAAAATTCATTGGCCAAGTGAAAATCCCGCGCTGGAAGTTATCCACCGTCATGTAGCTAGAGAGAGGAGAGATGGGCATGGCTAGTGCTGAGCCGCGCTCCTGGCGGAAACGCTGCCCCCAGGGTCTACAGACCATGTAATTAAAGCAAGATGCTAACAAAACGCATTAGGAATCCCCTGGGCAGAGCCCCTAAGAGGTATTTGTGACACATGGAGCAGTCACGCCTCATGGCAGGGATCTTATTGGCTCGCGCAGGGCTGTTTCACGCGTTCTGCATGAGGCACGGCGGGAGGCGAGCTCGGACGCCTGTCTGCCCCTTGCAGAGCCTTTGCTGGCCGCGGTACCTCATGTCCTTGTCGCTGATGACCTCAATGACGGGGCAGGCCACCTTGGCACGGCTCAGGCGGACCCTCTCCAGCAGCGGCTCCAGCCAGCCCACGGCGAGCCATGCGTGACGCCCGGGGCAGCGTCTCGCAGGGCGGCCGCGCTGCTGGGACCTGCGCGTTGCGCGCCGGGACGCCCTCAGCCCCAGCGGGAATGGGCAGGGCGGCGCGGGGCCTTCCCCTCACCTGTGGCCACCTCGGCCCCAGCCAGCCGCGCTCGTATGAGGCCGTGCCTCTCGCCGAGGCGGAGGATCTTCACCTTGGGGAACCGCGACATGTACTTGTCCAGCTTCCCCTTGAGGTAGCCTAGGGAGGAGGAGGAGGAGGCAGTGAGGAGACACCAAGGGCAGCTCCTGGCTGCCGGCAACCCCCTGGCTCCCGAGGATGCTGCATGATCCAAATCCGCGCACTCAGCAGCTGTTCAAAGGCCTTAGAACTGGTTTTTCTTCTTCATGACACTCAAACAGCCACGACAATCTGGTTACAAATCTTTTCCTCCGAGCAATTCCCACATTTCTGAGGGGCTCCAAGGTGAGGGTTTGTGAGGCCTTGGCCTGACACGCGGCTGCCCCAGTGCAGCTCCTGTGCAGGCCGTTTTGAAAGGAACAAGCAGAGCCTCTACCCTTCTTGCACGCACTCTGCTCTCGGCCGCCAGCTCTTGGGACAGGCTCCAATGAGCACCCAGCATAGCACTATCCCTGAGGCTGGAAAACTACTTAGTTCTTAAACTGCCGAGGGCTGATGTCAGTGGGGAGCCAAAGCACCAAAGGCAGAGGTTTCCCGAAGCACCACGCCAGTGCACGTGCTGGGCGCCCACGTGGCCGCTGCTTCTGCTGGCTCCCAAATCCCCGAGCCGCTCTGCTCGTGTACACTGTCCTCCTGACGCCAATTCTGGGGGAAGATCCACGGGGCTGGGCACAGGAGGGGTACAGGGACCCTCAGAGCAAGTGCCCAGCCCCCAAGACACCCTCAGCACCCCAACGAAGGAAACGTGACGCCTTCCCGCTCTGCGGAACCCAATTACAGGGAATTTTGCCCCAGGCAAGCTGGGTTTGGTGAAGGTGTGAGGGGTTTCACCTGCCTTTGGAGCTGCAGTCGTCCACCAGGATGAGCTCCTCCAGGAGGTGCGGGGGCGAGCGGCTGAGCACGCTGTGCACGGAGCGCAGCAGCGCGGACCACACCTCGTCCACAAAGCACATGATGACCGACGTGGTGGGGAGGTCGTTGGGCACCCGCTGCTCCGAGCACCTGCAACGGCACCGTGGCGCTCACCGCCGGCCCCGCCGCTCGTGCCGAGAACGTCTCGCAAGAAGGAGCCAGCTCCGCAGCATCCCAGCGCCCGCGTGCTACCGATCCCCCGCTGCACGGAACTCAGCTTGGGAGGGGGACAGCATCCACACGTGTTTAAAGTGCAAGGAAATGGCTATTTCTGTAATAGGCTGCTGGATGCGACAGCTGATCAAACAGCACAGGGAGGACAGGTCTCGCTTGTGTCTAACTCAAGGGGTAGCAGCTCCAACGTCCCAATTCCAGCAGGATATGTTCATTTTCCACACCAAAAAAGGCCTTTTGATAATTTACCCAGGGCTTTTGTCTGAGGGGACCCCAGAGGACCATCGTTCTCTCTTATCTTCCAGTGAGCTGGAGGCACACAGACGCCCGTAGAACTCTTGCCCCAAAATACAATAATTTCTCCTGGAATGCCCACAGATTTCTGGAGATTTCTTGCTCTCACTGATTCCTAAGCCTGAGGAGCCTGACATAAGAGTTCCCTTTCCTTCCCTGCCAGAACAGACCTTTTGCAGGCAGTACCAGCAGCCAACCCATGTGCTAATGCAGAACATTCACTGACGAGCAGTGAGTCTAAATCGCTATTCCCTACCAGACAACTTTCAGCAACAGGCAGAAAACAGGGCCACGCACATTGGACACCGCGCGGACACTGACTTCTGCATCTCTTTTGCTAAGTGAGCTCTGGTCGCAATGGTGATGGTAGGGGTGGCATTCTCTTAAATGCAAGAGCTTCTTTTTCCCCTTTTTTTTTGCCTGACAAAACAGGATTTCCAGGCAGAGACCAACGGGTCTCTTGTTGAACTGTAGCTAAAGCCTTTACAAAAGTTGCGAGTTGAGTCTCCATTACTTTGCTGGCTATATACATACTTGCATTGTCACGTATAATACTATAATAATACTACTCCTATATAATAAAGTTTTCCAAGCACACGTAGAGTATTTTGTGTCACAGCTCCCTGCAGGGCTCTGCGCCGCTCCTCGCCCGCGCGGGCACCTTGCCACCCCCTGCCCTTGTTTGGCCAGGGCGCTCCCTGCGCCGCGGCAGCGGCTCCCGGATCTCCCCGCCGCGGGGGCCGTGACTCACGCTCCAGGCACGTCCCTGCCAGGGGCCGCGCGGCAGGTGAGAGCACGGGCGCATGCTCCGCTCCACAGCGCTCGCGGCTCTCCCGGGCCCAGGACAACTCTGGCGACTGGCAGTGGACAGGACACCTGTCTGCACCGCTCCCGACCTTCCCCGTGGTTGTCCCATGCCAGCAGCCCAGCGATGAACCCCTTGGAGGGCCCTGCCCTCCTGCTCCACCTCACCCCCTGCTCTTCCGTGCCCACTACGGGCTCCTCGGTTGGGTTTTCGAAGCGCCGGTAGCAGATGGCAAAACCGCGCAGCACAGCGCACCGCAGGTGCTGGGAGCAGCAGCCCCGCTCGCGGGCAGCGCACAGGGACCACCGCGTGCGCCCAGGAGCGCGCGATGCTGCGCCGGGCAGCAGCTCTTACCCAACGGGCCGTGTGTCCGCGATGGCCCGGTCCACAGGGATCAGGTCGCTGAGGTAGACGTTGAAGTTTCCTTCCTTCCACCGACTCTTCGCTTCCTCCTGCTTCTCCGCGGGGATGGCCACGGCGTTCCCGAACTGCCCGGGGGCACGGGGGTCCCGGGGCGCTAGCGTCACATCCATGGCCAGGACACGGTGAGTGCCAAGGCCCCGCAGGGCGCCGCGGAGGATGCCCAGGGCAGCATTTCTGCGCCAGGGAGCGCCGGCCCAGGCGGCTCGCTGTGAGCTGTTGGCTACCACCGTGGCTGCTGGCATGTCCTTGGCAGGCCGCTCCGGGTACCGCTCCGGACGCCGCTCCGTGGAGTTCCCCAGGGAGTTGTTGCCCAGACTGGAGGCCACCAGGCTGCTGTTTCTCACCCCGTCCTTGCTGATGCCGATGGAGGCGTTCCCAAGTACTGCGGCTGGGGAATCATCGGCCCTGGGGGCCACTGGGCTGCTGCTTCTCCTCCCGTCCTTGTGGATGCTGGTGGAGGAGTTCCCTGGCGCAGCGGCTAGGGAATTGCTGGTCCTAGGGGCTGCTGGGCTGCTGTTTCTCACCACGTCCTCACCGATGGAGGGGTTCCTGGGAGCAGTGGCTGGGGAATCATCAGCCCTGGGGGCCACTGGGCTTATGCTTCTCCTCCCGTCCTTGTGGATGCTGATGAAGGAGTTCCCTGGCGCAGCGGCTAGGGAATTGCTGGTCCTAGGGGCTGCTGGGCTGCTGTTTCTCACCACGTCCTCACCGATGGAGGGGTTCCTGGGAGCAGTGGCTGGGGAATCATCAGCCCTGGGCGACACCGGGTTGTTGTTTCTCACCCAATCCTTGTGGATGCTGATGAAGGGCTCCCCGGGTGCCTCAGTGGGGGACTTGTGGTCCCCCGGGGCTGCTGGGCTGCTGCTTCTCACCCCGTCCTTGCCGAGGTGGAGGAAGGGGTTTTTGGGTGCAGCAGCCGGCAAATCGCCAGCCCTGGGCGCCACTGGCTGGGGGGGCGGGGCCTGGGGGCCCCGACCG